CTCTTGATTGGAGAGAGGCTGATTTTTTCTTTTGTGTCAAGCATTTGTGGATACCTATGCACTTTATGTTGGAGGATTTCTTTAGCACACAGCATTGTGTTATTGGATTTTGAGACTTTTAATTATTTAATATATGAATGTGGACTTATATAATTTCAATTTATGCACATTTTTTATGCAGCAGTATTTATTCGATTTATTATTGCTTATGATTTTTTAGTGTACAGTGCACTAATTTTTTATAGGTCTTAATGAGTGTTGTCATAAAAAGTACTTAGTACCACTGTTGCTCCAGATTCCCGCTGTCCACAGCAGTGTCTCCACCCAGCAGTCTTTAATAGTCAGGGGCGGACTGGCCGAGGGCCCGGGGGCAGTAGGGGCCCCATGAGATGCCCCTGGTACCTTTTTCATAGGCTTTTTTGAGTTTCGGCAAGGACACAGGGGCCCCATGATCCCCTATTGCCCGGGGGCCCCATGAGTTATCAGTCCGCCCCTGTTAACAGTGCATCATGTAGGACTGCCTTCTTCTTTCTGGATCCTGAAGTCAGCCCCTCAGGGACACACCGGCCATATCTTGCACATGTATAGCACAAGATCTGACAAAGTACTTGACACTTGACATGCACAGTGTTTCCCAATCTCTTCTGGACTGCCCACCCATGAACTGGTACATTGCTGTTTGCTTCTTGGTTCAGGGTGCGCCCATGCGCAGCCCCCCACAACACTCACTGTGATTGTACACAACTGGTCTGTCAGCAGGTCCCAGCCAATGATTCATGGCTGGGACATGCTGATCAGCTGCATACAATCACAGCCCAGAGACAATCAACGCAGGGCTCTGCAGAGAGGCAACTATCTCTCTTTTTTATCCCTGCAAGGATGAAAAGCAAAGAGATCTATTAGTAAAAGCAGCACATGATACACACATTACACATTGCACATTGTTAAGCACATATTTAACTCCTTGATTGCCCTAGATGTTAATCCCTTCCCAGCCAGTGTCATTATTACAGTGACAATGAGTTATCACTGATCGCTGTATTAGTGTCGCTGAAGATGTCAGTGACAGTTAGTCTATTCCCCTCAGCATCAGTTAGTGTTAGATTGCCCGGCACACTAGTCCCATTTTAAGTCACTGATCACCACCATTAGTAGTATTTAAAAAAAAAATTTAAATTAAATAAATAAATTAAAACTTCAATTTATATTCCATAGATTGGAAAAGCTATAACTTCCATGCATACCAACTTTCATACACTTATTGGGATTTTTTTTTACCAAAGACACGTGGCCAAAAAATATGAAGAAATTTGATTTTTTTTCAATTTTTTTTATTGGATATGTTTTATAGCAAATTGTAATTTTTTTTCAAACTTTTCAGTCTTTTTTATTTATATCGCAAAAAAATTTTAAAAACCCAGCGGTGATCAAATACCACCAAAAGAAAGCTCTATTTGTGTGAAAAAAAAATACTCAAATTTAAATTTCTTTAGGGTACAGCACTGCATGATCGTGCAATTACCAGTTAAAGTAGCACAGTGCTAAACAGAAAAAAATGGTGCGGTCAAGAAGGGGGTAAAACCTTTCAGAGCTCAATTGGTACATTCCACCAACAAGCCATGATTTGGGAATTTTCCTTAGATAACATAGCCGTTATGAATTCCTAACCATTGGCATTGATTTAAAGCATCTGCGCCAGGTGAAAGAAATCCTGAAACCATGAACTGTTGGGGGTACTTGAGGATGGGGGTTCGGAACCACTGTAATAGAGAAATCTTATGATATTTGTCTATTATATGGCCAAGGCCTGCCCTTAGATTCTGGTTACATAATTACATAGTTAGTCTGGCTGAAAAAAGACACAAGTCCATCCAGTTCAACCATTAAAAAAAAGTTATAATCCTATACCCAGAGGAAGGCAAAAAACCCCCAGCAAAGCATGATCCAATTTGCTCCTGCTGTTCTGTCCCCACATGAAGGCGAATAAAGGTATGACAGATAATGGCTGCGTAACTTCCTACCTTCGTATCCAAGCAGTGGAGCAGACCGGACCGGCAGATGCTCGGGTTAGATGGATTCAAACGTATGCACGGGAATGAAATCAGCGTGGGTTTATTTGATCCAAATACAGCGACAAACACTGATACAATACTGTAATGTAGTAGAGGTATTGATGCTGTCCTCTAATATCTTTCCTGAGGCTAACTGCTGGTCAAAAACCGATGCCTTCACAAGCCCAGGGTATTGAATGTCCTGTTACACAGCTATGAAGCACATAAAATGGCTGCAGGAAGTGACCAGAACCAAGGCTGCCTAAAACCACGCCCAGCAGAAGAAAAACTTACTAACAAGAGCAGAGGCGTGCAGCATGCAAATTCTGGCCAGCAGATGGCAGCAAACATATCAATGCATAGAAACAACATGGTGAAATAAGAATTGGTAATACAATGCACAGTTATAGAACAAATATGAGAACAGCACACCTGCAGGGGAAAAAAAATCCTTCTTGATCCCCCAAGAGGCAATTGGATATTCCCTGGATTAACTTTACCTATAAATGTTAGTATCCAGTTATATTCTGTGTATCTAAGAAAGAATCCAGGCCTTTTTTGAACCAATACACTGAGCTGGCCAGAACCAACTCTTGAGGGAGTCTATTCCACATTTTCACAGCTCTTACTGTGAAAAAACCTTTCCGTGTTTGGAGATTAAATCTCTTTTCCTCCAGTGCCCCCTTGTCCTCTGTGATGACCTCAGGGTGAATAACAGTTCCTCTAATCTTTCCTCATATCTGATCTCCTCAATGCCTCTTTTCAGTTTGGTTGCTCTTCTCTGTACTTTCTCCAGTTTCCCAATGTTCTTTTTGAGAATTGGTGCCCAAAACTGAACTGCATATTCCAGATGAGGTCTTACTAATGATTTGTACAGGGGTAATATGATATCTCTCTCTCTGAAGTCTATACCTCTTTTTATACAAGAGAGGATTTTGCTCGCTTTAGAAATCGCAGCTTGGCATTGCATGCCATTATTAAGCTTGTGATCTACCAGAACCCCCAGATCCTTCTCCGCCATTGATTCCCCCAGTTGTACCCCCCTAGTATGTATGATGCATGCATATTCTTAGCCCCCAAGTGCAGAACCTTACATTTATCAACATTAAACCTCATTTGCCACATAGTTGTCCAATTAAACAGTGCATTGAGGTCGGCTTGTAAATTGAAGACATCCTGTAAGGACGTTATTCCACTACACAGTTTGGTGTCATCTGCAAAGACTGAAATGGGATTTTTAATCCCAGACCCTATATAGTTTATACTCTGGTGATGTAGCCTTCCCAGCAGGATGTGTAAAGACACCTCCTATATGAACAGAACTGAGGCTGATGGGCTGGTGGATGGAGAGAAAGTATGCTTCATACATGCCATGTTTCCGAATGGGGAAATATGGATACACAGAATTTCATATTTTGGTGAAAGGTCTACTTTTAGTGTTTTTATTAACACAGCTGAATTAACAGTGGTTTTTATATCTACCAAGAATTGAGGAAAGTGTGGAAAGCAGTTCAGTATTAAACAAGGTACACGTTTAGGAGTTCCTATTTCATGATCAATGGGAAGCCTTCAGAGAGGCAAAAAGAATTGTTGAGGGTCTAGTTTCTTTCTTTACACTTTTATAGTGATAAGCCAGGTGGGTTGTTTGAACTCACAAGTAGTATTCCCTGATGTATAACTGCTTTCCACCTCCTGTGGCCTCTGATTATAGGACTCTTTAGGACATTTCATCAGCAGCCTTATGTCTTCCCTAGCAGTGCCTGCTAATTCCTTTGTGCTGAGAGACGGCTTTCAGCCTGTGCAGGAGAAAGACAACACTCCACTACGCAGCAGATTATCTGCTAACAGCATAGACATGAGCCAGTGGACACCTGCCGGGTGATGTCAGCTCTTGGGATGCAGAAAAGACTTTTCAGTGACACATTCATCATCGCAGACATTGTAAACAAATGAGATTCTGCCTGTGGGAAGACAACTGGACAAACCCAAAAAAACTTCCGTTCAGCTGGGAACCCTCAGTCCCTTCCATTCCCTCGTATGTCTCCAGCCATCTCTATAGGGTGTCATACTGTATTACTAGGGAACACATTAGCATCTGCAACCAGACGAGAAGACAACCAGGCCAAATTCTCATTCCTTCCAATTAGAAAGTGCTGATTTTAGTTTTCAAATCATCTTAACACATATATGTATATATATATATATATATATATATATATATACCGTATTTTTCGCTCCATAAGACGCACTTTTTTCCCCCAAAAAAGGGGGGAAAATGTCAGTGCGTCTTATGGAGCGAATGTAAAGCGGCCGGTCCGGTATTTCTGCCGCCACCATGTCAGAATATCGGGCCGGCCGCTCAGCTCTTCTCTCCTGCAGGACCTTACCTGTTCCTCGCTCCAGCGCTGCAGTCTTCCTGCGGCGGCTTCTGTGACAGCCGGGTGCCCACTGAGCATACGCGAGAAGCGCTGTGTTTTGTGAATGGTCCGGTGTCTTCTGGGACACATGACAGGTCCCAGAAGGCTCCGGGCCATTCACAAAGCGCAGCGCTTCTCGCGCATGCGCAGTGGGCACCCGGCTGTCACAGAAGCCACCGCGGGAAGAAGGAAGGACAACTCCGCGGAAGTGGGAGCGGGTACCTGTCAGATTCAGGTACCCACTCCCCCAACCTCCCCAAAGGTCCGCAGTCTCTGGTAATCTCTTTTACTGTCTGCAGTCTCTGGTCATCCCCTGCACTGTCTGCAGTCTCTGGCATCTGTACTATGTCCACAGTCTCTGGTCATTCCCTGTACTATGTCCACAGTCTCTGGTCATTCCCTGTACTATGTCCGCAGTCTCTGGTCATCCCCTGTACTATGTCCGCAGTCTCTGGTCATCCCCTGTACTATGTCCGCAGTCTCTGGTCATCCCCTGTACTATGTCCGCAGTCTCTGGTCATCCCCTGTACTGTGTCCGCAGTCTCTGGCCATCTCCTGTACTGTGTCCGCAGTCTCTGGTCATCTCCTGTACTGTGTCCGCAGTCTCTGGCCATCTCGTGTACTGTGTCCGCAGTCTCTGGTCATCTCCTGTACTATGTCCGCAGTCTCTGGTCATCTCCTGTACTGTGTCCGCAGTCTCTGGTCATCTCCTTTACTTTTTCTGCAGTCTCTGGTCGTTCCCTGTACTGTGTCCGCTGTCTCTGGTTATCCCCTGTACTGTCCGCAGTCTCTGGTCATCTCCTGTACTGTCCGCAGTCTCTGGTCATCTCCTGTACTGTCTGCAGTCGGTCATCTCCTGTACTATGTCCGCAGTCTCTGGTCATCTCCTGTACTGTGTCCACAGTCTCTGGTCATCTCCTGTACTGTGTCCGCAGTCTCTGGTCATCTCCTGTACTGTGTCTGCAGTCCATTGGTTCAGAATATTTTTTTCTTGTTTTTCTCCTCTAAAACCTAGGTGTTGCTTATGGTCAGGTGCGTCTTATGGAGCGAAAAATACGGTATATAAAAATATAAATGTATATTTATCCTGTAACCCATACGCTCAATATGAAGATCGAATATATAAAAATGTAAGATTTTATTATTAATAATGATAATATTAATTATACAGTGCCATGATTTTCCAGGGTGCTGTTCTTTTTGACTGTTACAACTGATACTTACAAAACATTCAAACAAGTAAATGTAATTGTATAGTAAAACATAAACAACAAAAACAAACAACAAATAATTGTCTGAACTTTGTAAGGCATTGAACCAGAAAAAATTGTAGACAGTGAAGTCAGATCTCCTGATATACATACAACAATTTGTGATTACATAGTTACATAGTTGTCTGGCTGAAAAAAGACAAAAGTCCATCTAGTTCAACCATAGAAAAAAAAAAGTTATAATCCTATACCCACAGTTGATCCAGAGGAAGTTGCCCTTCTCTGCACTTTCTCCAGTGGGTATAGGATTATAATTTTTTTTTTTTGGTTGAACTGGGTGTCTTTTTTCAACCAGACTAACTATGTAACTATATAAGTACGTGGAACAAAATATTATTTATTATTACAGGCACTTATATAGCGCCATCAATTTACACAGCACTTTACATATTGTACATTCATATAAGTCCCTCACCCTCAAGCGTACAATCTAAGGTCCCAAACTCACATTCATACATACACATACTAGGGCCAATTTAGGCAGGAGAACCTACCAGCACATCTTTGGAATGTGGGAGGAAACCCACACAGGCATAGGGGGAACATGCAAACTCCGTGCAGGTAGTACCATGGTTGAGACTCAAACCAACAACCCTAGTGCTGCTAGGCGAGAGTGCTAAACACTTAGCCACTGTGCTGCCCACACAGTAAATTTAAAAGTAAGCAACCCAGGAAGGAAATCCCTCTATTACAGAGATTCTGTCCTGGGTGGAAGAACTGCCAACTTTGTTATCAAACCCACTTTTCCACTTAGTGAAGATTCTTGTTATCTTATTTACATACTAGAAAAAATACCCTCTTTGAAGAATGGGACAATTATAAGCAATAGATTGTGTAAGCTTAGATATCAAACCTATCAAACACTTTATTGAAGCAAAACATTAAAAATAAAGTAGCATAAAAGCCACCCAACGCTTTTTGATACAGGGCTTTACAATTTTTCAGAGGTGCCCATATGCAAGTGCAAGGTGTTCCATATAGTAGAGATATGGAACCTAATAGCCATTTTGGTTAAACACAGAAAATAAACGCATGCTGTTGCCTTCATGCACCCTCTATCAGCCGGAGCATCAAGATCGGAACCACATACCCCCTGGCTGCTGAGGCTCACAATGAACAGTGACGACCAGAGGTATCCAAAAATGTATTATATATGGCACATGTATGAGACCGCTGGAAGAAAGCCACAGTAATTAATTAGTTATATAGGGCTAGGTCCCAGGTCAATTCCCAAATGTCAGTATTGAGCTAATCCGGCATTCCACAGTAGTGCTCAGTGATGGCCCAGTGATGGCAGACCCGTAGCACTTTACCATATCTCTTACTTACATGCAGATTTAGAAGGAAAGGAGGGAATCTGGAAGCACTGTTGGGGTAGAGGCACACAGAAGGGCCTGGGCTGCAGGGGGAAACATATGGTGCACAGGGAGGGTGATGAGTGCGGGGGGGTTGGCAATTACTGGAACAGATCCCCTGTATGGCTCTCTCTGCAGCAGCTTATCCACGGCCCTGCATTAAGGTGTGCCTCAGTGCAAGACGCATGCTCATAGAGAAAGAGAGCAGAGTAACAGTGAGATGAGCTCACCAGTTTGCTACTTCTCCTTTCACTATCCAGTCATGGAATGAAGATAGGTAGGGGACCTGTAAGTCAAACTTAAACTTAATCATATCCTCTCCCCTGGTATATAGGGCCCTGTGCTGAATAATACAAACAAACGAGAACTGCCCCAACCTATAACTGGCCTTTGCAGCAAGAAGCACATGGAAGGGCTGGATAGACAAGTAAAGAGCTCTGTTATACTGCATGTATATTATCTGTGTATATAGCTGTTTGCCTGGAGTTCAGCTTTAAACAGCACACAGTGGAAGGATTATGTAAATAAATATTACTGATATAAGTTACTGGCATTAACAATTATTTGCTGCTTATTCATTGTATCATAGAAAATCATACATACTACTGTCTGCAGAACACCAGTGAATAAGACATTTCCAGGCATTGCACAGAATGTAATTATACTGTATATCATATTCTCTGCATTTTAAACACAACTCTTCAATATATATTAATTTAAGGCAAGAGGCAGTAAGAATTAAATCTAGCAAAAGAGCTCTTTTTTGTGTGCTGTGATCAATATTTGGAATAAAGGACAACTGCAAAGGTAAATATCTGAAATCCAGAAAACAGACATAAAAATTTGGGAACTTTATATGATAATATGACCCCTTCAGTAGAATGAAATGGCTGTTTTGAAAAAATATTGAAAGAAATTTTAGGGAAATTAGATATTAGGCAAAAACGCTATTGGGAAGGGAAAGTCAGCGAGTGGTTTTAAAATTCAATTTGGTCTTATACTGTGGACAATACTTTCTGTTTATTTAGTCTGTCTGCATTATAGTAAAAAATGACAAAGCTTCAACTGAACTTCAACATAACTAAATGGGTTATTTACTAAAACTGCATGGTGCAAAATCTGGGGCAGCTATGCATAGAAACCAATCAGCTTCCAGGTTTTATTGTCAAAGCTTAATTAAATAACGAAGTTAGAAACTGATTGGTTACTATGCACAGCTGCACCAGATTCTGAGTGCACCAGGTTTAGTAAATCTCCCCCATTGCATGTAAGCCCACTTGTAAAGACCTCCTGCTCTCTAGTTGCCTCGCGTCTTCCTCCCATGCTCACCTCCAGGACCCTGCTGACCCAAGATCACTGCCGAGGGTCACATGGGAGCAGCAGAGCCAACTGAATTCTGCTCCATTGACTCAGGAAACCATAGAGAAACATTGCTACTCTTGGACTTCCTCTCCAAGCTGAGGTGCCACTTAGTTTGAGGGCCACCTACAGTGGAATAAACAAACCGCACCTCCCTACACTATCATTAACAGATGCTGTCCTTCGCTTCACAAGACAAGAGAATGTCGACAGCTGGTAATCATAGCAAGTGAAGGCAGAACTAGTAAACACAGTTGAACAACATAATCAGAGAATCTGGCAGGTAGTTACCCACAATTAGGCTGCACAGGGCAACGGATGGTTGGGCTCTCATCAGAGTCACTTGGTAAAGGTTGATCTTCTGAAAAGGTGTAAAGAAGTAATTGATGTCCTCTCTCTGCTCTTCACATGGGCCCTATGTCAGATTTCCCCCCGTACCAGTACAGTCTTTGGCACTAGCGGGGTGGCTGGTTTGGCTGGATTCTCAGCTCTAGAGCCCTGAGGCTCAGGGTCACTAGGGACTGGAGGTTCAAGCTCAAGGGGTGGCAAGAACCAGTACAGGGGTGCCTCTTGTACCAGTGGGAGGCCGGCAGGGTCAAAAGCTTTCGGTCCTCAACAGACTCCCCGAAACACTTGCCACCCAGTACACAAACCCTCAACATATTGTGATGCAACCGCTTCTTGACTGGGTAGGGACCCTCAGAGACCGGGTCATAGACAGGAGTAGGAGGGAATGGTTGCCCCACCACCCGGTATTGGGTGTGTTCCCACTGAGGCTCCAGCTTACTACCCCTGGTGTGTTTTGTATTCTTCTCTAGCACCTGGTCCAAATATTTGACAAGGTAATCAAATATCTTGGAGAAGATGATTATATCTTTGAGATAGATCAGTACAGTCTGAAGTCTCAGAGATCTTTCCATCTAGCGTTAGAAGGTACTGGGGGCATTGCTGAGGCCAAAGGGTACTCAGTTAAGATCAAACAGTCCCAAAGGCATGATGAAGGCAGTTTTCTTTCAGTCCTGGTTTCAGACCAGGACCAGCTAGTAGCTACTGACCAGGTCTAGGGTAGAGAAGAACTTTGCTTGCCATCAGAGACTCCTTTACACAAAAGTTAGGCACCCCTATGGGTGCAGGCATTGAGTTTGCAATAGTCAACATAGAACCGCAACCCACCATCTTTCTTGTGCACTAGGATAGCAGGGGTGGCTCCAGGATTGATACTCTCCTGGATCATTCCCCCCCTGCAGCATGCTACTAAGCAAGTCCTTGAGCTTTTTTATATAGAGCTGGCGTAATGTGGCGGTACTGTTCTCGGTTGGGAGGTGTGTCTCCAGTGGGAATAGAGTGGTCAATGGCCTTGGTTAACCCATTATATTCCAGACTAGAGGAGAACACTAGGAGATGTTTTTCCAGTAGTTGGTGGAGTAGGTTCTGTTGGGGTATGGGAAAATCTTTGAACGAGATGTCCAGTTGTCTTGTATTGGGCTTTGTCACAGGATGCCATAGTTGCCTGAAGGTGAACACAGATGACTTCCACCCCTGGTTGGGCCTCATAAATGCAGTAGTGGGGGACTGCTTATAAGTCAGTGAGAATGGCGTACTTGGGCAGTGCAACAAGTATATCGCCTAAGTTGATGATCTGCCCTAAGTCCCTGATGGACCTTGGATAAGGTTTCCCTCCTCATCAGGAATCTTTCCTTACTGCTAATACTTTCCCCAATAACAGGGGTCTCTTTCCCTACACAGCCCACATGCCAGGAATGCATAAAACCTGGGGGCAGGGACTTAAATGGACCCTGCTGACCCAAGATGGTCACCAAGGGTCACATGGGTGCAGCATATCCAATCGGAATGCTACTCCATTGACCAAGGAATCCCTTGAGAAAAGTTGTTTCTCATG